CTAAGCTTGCGTGATCCTCCCACCTCAGCCTCTCAAAGTGCTGGAATTACAGGCATGAGCGCCTGAGCCCAGCCATCCAGTCCTTTTTTTCTTTTTCTTTTTAGCATCAAGTTTCACTCTGTCACCCAGCCTAGAGTGCAGTGGCGCAATCATAGCTCACTGCAGCCCTGACCTCTCAAACTCCTGGGCTCAAGTGATCCTCTTGCCTCAGCCTTTTAAGTAGCTGGGGATATAGGTGCATGCCACCACACCTGGCTAATTTTTTATTCTGTATAGAGACTAGGCCTTATTATGTTGCCCAGGCTGGTCTGGAACTCCTGGACTCAAGCAATCCTCCTGCCTCAGCCTCCCAAAGTGCTGGGATTACAGGCATGAGCCACCATGTCCAGCCTCTACAGCCGCATTTATACCACAAGTCATGACCATACTTTTTTAATGGCTACATTCTTTTAAATGGGCCATAACCAATCACCTATTAATAGATACTTAGGTTATTTCCAATAGTTCACTATTACAAAGCAATGCTGCAGTGAAAATCTCTTTACATAGATCCTCAAGCAATTATTTCTATAGGATAATTTTCTACAAGTAGAATTCTGGTGTCAAGAGCAATGGCTGATTGAAGGCTTTTTATGCCACTTCAGAATCTGGGAAAATAGCTCACTTTTGCCAGAGGTGACATCAAAATGTCCCTTAAGTAAATTTACTCAGCCACCACTACCCCCATGATTGTCTGGATGTTATGTTTGTTGTGTTGCTTGGTACATCCAGCCTGTGAAAGAACGAGTCTAGGCCAGTTTGGAAAAAATATGCAATCACAGGAGCTTTTCCAGTCAAAGCTTTCAGGTCTCCAAAAGCAGGTTAACTCTGGAGACAGGATGAGGCAAAAGAAGGAACAGGTCAGAAGAGCAGCTGGGGCGCGGAACCAGGCTGGGCGTGAATACCAATCGTACCACTCACTAGCCACGTGAATTGGGCAGATTATTTAACCACTCTAAGCCTTTTCCTAACCTATAAAATAAGGATAGAAATAGCATCTTATCTCATAAGGCTATTATGAAGACTAAATAAGAAACGTGGGCATTTAGTGCTATAAATTTCCCTCTTAACACTGCCTTCACTGTGTCCCAGAGATTCTGGTACGTTGTATCTTTGTTCTCATTAGTTTCAAATAACTTCTTGATTTCTCCCTTAATTTAATTATTTGCCCAAAAGTCATTCAGGAGGAGGTTGTTTAATTTCCATGTAAATGTATGGTTTTGAGCAATTTTCTTTGTATTCAATTCTATTTTTGTTGCATTGTTGTCCAAGAGTGTGATTGGCATAATTTTTTTTTTTTTTTTTTTTTTTTGCATTGGCTAAGAACTGCTTTATGTCCAATTCTTTGGTTGATTTTAGTGAATGTGCCATGTGGCGATGAGAAGAATGTATACTCTGTTGTTTTGGGGTGGAGAGTTCTATAGATGTCTACTACGTCCATTCAGTCAAGTGTTAAGTTCAGGTCCTGAGTATCTTTGCTTTTGATTCATCTTGCCTTGGCGATCTGTCTAATACTGTCAGTGGGGTGTTGAAGTCTCCCTCTGTTATTGTGTGGGAGTCTAAGTCTCTTCATGGGTCTCTCAGAACTTGCTTTATGCATTCATCCCCTCTGGAGGATGCAGCAACAAGGCATTATTTGCAGAGAGCAGCCCTCATCAGTCACTGAATCTGCCAGCACCTTGATCTTAGACTTTCCAGCCTCCAGAATTATAAAAAATAACCTTCTTTGTCTGTTTTCATCTTTGTTGGCTTACAGTCTGCTTTGTCTAAAATTAGGATTGCAACCCCTGCTTTTTTCTGATTTCCATTTGCTTTGTAGATTTTTCTCCATCCCTTTATTTTAAGCCTATGGGTGCCATTGCATGTTAAATGGGTCTCTTGAAGACAGCATGCTGTTCGGCCTTGTTTCTTTATCCAGCTTGCCACTCTGTGTCTTTTACTTGGGGCATTTAGCCCATTTACATTCAAGGTAAAGGGGACACTTATACACTGCTGGTGGAAGTATAAATTAGTTAAACCATTGTGGAAAATAGTGTGGTAATTTCTCAAAGAACTAAAGACAGAACTACCATTCAACTCAGCAATCTCATTACTGGGTATATACCGAAAGGAATATAAGTCATTCTGCCATAAAGACACATGCACACGTGTGTTCACTGCAGCACTATTCACAATAGCAAAGACATAGAATCAACCTAAATGCCCATCAACAGTAGGCTGGATACAGAAAATGTGGTACATATACACCGTGGAATCTATGCAGCCATAAAAAAGAATGAGCTCATGCTCTCTGCAGGAACATAGATGGAGCTGGAGGCCAATATTCTTAGCAAGCTAATGCAGGAGCAGAAAACCAAATACTGCATGTTCCCACTGATAAGTGGGAGCTAAATAATGAGAACTAATGGGCACGAAGAGGGAACAATAGACACTGGGGCCTACTTGAGGGAGGAGGGTGGAAAAGGGGAGAGAATCAGGAAAAATAACTATCAGAACTATCAGGTACTATGCTTAGTACCTGGGTGACAAAGTGGTTCGTGCACCAAACCCCCATAACACAAGTTGGCCTGTAACAACAAACCTGTACATGTACCCCTAAATCTAAAATAAAAGTTAAAAAGAAATGTGATTTAAATCACAGCATCCATCACACAGCATGTGCCCAACAACTCCCAGGTGTCATTAACATACATAATACCAAAAGATCTTCCTGTCCCCAAAATTGTATGAAATTAGAGTAGATTCAGAGGGGATATGGGGAAAAGAATGGAGGGTGTCAGGTTCCTAGAAGAGATTTTTCCATTCTCTGCAAAGGCACATTGCTAGGAACAGAGCGAACAGGGAGGAGTGGGAGGAGGGGTAGCCAGGGCAAGAAACTGTGTTTTCTCAAAGGGAAAAACTCACAGTAGGAGGTGGAAGGATTTGGGGTTTCAGAGAAGAGGTAAGGGGGAGAGTTGATAGAGACTACATGATTTAGAATCCAGGTTATGAATGTGTTCATGGGAACTCTTCTCTTTGGATGTGCACAATCGGATCAATAGACACATGCCCAGACCCTACTCTTTAACAGATATTGGTCAATTCTTCGTCACCCTTTGGCATCAGGCAAATGTGTAAAAAGCTAACTTCTTTTGACTTCAAGGTCTTATGTACAGTTGCACAAGACATCTGTAGAGTGGCGTCCCTGGCATTGTGCAGTGCCCAACCTGAACAGGTGTACTTGGCAGCCCTGCATGGCCTCCACCCTCACGAGCTTCCATATTGCATTGTGTACCATCTGGCCACCTGTGGTCTTATACAGACCATCAGGTCCCTGAGAACAGGAACATGAATTATATCATTTTTGGTTTTTGGTGTTTTTTGTTTTGTTTTGTTTTGTTTTTTGCCTCCCATGGTAACTGGTACTCAGTTAGTGATCAATATTTCTCCCCTAGCAACTCTGTTCCCTTCTGATTAGCCCCAGAGAGAGGAAGCCGACTCCTTTGAGACTCAACCCTACCCTGTGGGAACACTCAGTCCAGGCATCACATCCAGTGCCCAGTCCTCTGCCTGCCCTCCCTTTGATACCAGCCCAACTCAAGCACCTGAAAATCATTAGCAGAGACTCTCAAAGGAAAAGGGGCTTCAAGTTCATGTCACCCAGGGCCACAGTATACGGCCCTGCAAGCTGTCCACCGCGCAAGCCCAGGGAGCAGCCTTTTCTTGGATACGATGCAATATGTATGGATCCTGCCATCCAACCCATCCAAGCAGGATTCCAGAGACCTCAAGACCATCCTTGGAGAGCTCTCATTTTCAGGTAGTTCCTTGCACCAAGCCAAAATCTGTCCCTACATCCACCCAACAGTGGTTCACACCTTGGTCCCTATTCTGCCCTCTGGAGTCCTACATACAAAGCCTAATCACCTGTTTCAGACCCCACCCAGGCCTCCTGGGTTCCAACCAAGCCAAGAGGCAATTGTGTTTCTGAAGGAGACCCCTCCCTTGTCCCCCCTCTGCAGTGGGGATAGATGGAAAGAGCAAGGCTTAGGATAACCTCACACACTAGGTGGCCCTGCCCCTGGCATGCCCACCTCTTTCTGCTGCTGCTGCACACCTCAAGCCTGTCTCCCAGCCTGAAACACACAGGCCCAGTGCAAAAGTAAAGCAGTCAGGAAGTCAGGGAGAAAAGACTGCATTCCTGCTTCCTTCTCAGCAAGTTTCCCAAGCAGTGGGCCTCCTCGGGCACAAAGCAATCTCCACGGCCAGGGTTCCCTCAGGATGCTCTTTGGGGAAAGAGCCTCCAAGCTTCCTGAGAGCCCACCCACCATCCCAGCTGGTTATTCCCTCTGACAGTAAGCATTCCAGGGAGTGTGGAGCAGCCACCACCAGTATTCCTCCCTGGGACTCATACAGTCCCAGTTTGGGGATAAGACAAAAGTTTTCCCGGGAGGATGCCAGGGAGGACACTGGCATCCTCTCAGCTCCCAGGAAAAGGGTCACGGACACATCCCCTCCTGGAGGCCAGTGACAGTGCCTGTCCCACACCCCCTTGGGCTATGCTACCTATATCCAGGAACCAAAGGCAACACCCAGCTCCTTTCACTCTCATGGGTTCTGGGGACAAATGATAACCCACTGGACACGGGGAGGACGCCTTTCCCCAACCACGAAATTAAGGAATCAAGGGCTGAGCTGGGAACAGGAGCTGCAGGGAAGGAGATGGACTGGACCTGGATTCAGGTGGGCCCTGGGCAGGTCCCCAGGAACCGAATGCCTATGAGGCACACTCAGTGGAGGGCAAAGGGGAGAAATAAGCCCAGAAGCAGCAAAGTGACAAGGGAGGACTCCGAGTAGCATCCAGGAATTCAGCAGAGGTCAGCGAGCTTGGGAGAGCTAGGGCAGGCAGATAAGGTTCTGGGCTGTTCCTCTTTGGGGCAACAGCCAGAGAAATAGCTCAGCTAGTTGCATAACCCTTCTATTTGCCCAGAGCTTTTGTCCAGAAACCCTCTGTCCTGAGAGGTGATTAAAGAAGGCATCCAGCAAGAACTGCACAAGAAACGGAGTCAGCCGGAGAACAAGGAGTGGTCTTCCACTGCCTCACAGGAGGATGGAGGCCCACAACGCATCTGCCCCTTTCAACTTCACCCTGCCACCCAACTTTGGCAAGCGCCCCACAGACCTGGCACTGAGCATCATCCTGGTGTTCATGTTGTTCTTCGTTATGCTCTCGCTGGGCTGCACCATGGAGTTCAGCAAGATCAAGGCTCACTTATGGAAGCCTAAAGGACTGGCCATCGCCCTGGTGGCACAGTATGGCATCATGCCCCTTACGGCCTTTGTGCTGGGCAAGGTCTTCCAGTTGAACAACATTGAGGCACTGGCCATCCTGGTCTGTGGCTGCTCACCTGGAGGGAACCTGTCCAATGTCTTCAGTCTGGCCATGAAGGGGGACATGAACCTCAGGTAAGCCTGGGGGTGAGGAGGGAACAGCCTGGGACAGGAGCTATGTTAGAGATATCACAATTGAGGGGAAGAGCTGGGCTAAAGCCAGGAAGGAGTGAATGCAGGCTGGGTGGAGGCTGGGGCAGGGGGAGGCTGGCATTTATTGCCAAGAGCTTATGCTGGGATGGGGGTAGGAGTTGGGGTATGTCTGGTTTAAGCACCAAATCAAAGGGACCATACTGGTCCAGGAAGCTCGTGATCTCCTTGCTTCCAGAGGTGTCTCAAGGATTGTCTTAAAGGAGCATTGATTTAAGCCAAAGGAACCTCTGGAGAACTGCATCCACCTTCAACAGTGGACAGGTTGCCTGCTTTGAGCCCAGAGATTTAAAAGGCAGTGTGATTCATTCCAAACATCACCAGGAAGATCAAGGTGACTTGGAACCAAATGAGCACCTCAAATTCCTGCAAAGCAGGCAAGAATTTCCAAAAGGTCCTCCCAATTACCTGGTCATCTGAGATGTTTTCTCTTTGAAGTCCCTCATTCCCCATCAGATGCAGTGACTTTTCCAAGCAAAGGCACAACCAGGGAGATCCCAGCGTTTCCCAGCACCCACTCAGGATATGCCAGCCCCATCTCAGCCACCCTGGTAAGGGGAAGACAGCAGCACCCCCTAACGCCCTACCCAAAGCATTATAAGCAGAAATCAGCAAGGGCTCACTCCTGCAGACACAGCATGCAGGGGCTGGTTGATGCTCATCCTTGCAAACAGGGGGGACTCTAGTCTTGAACATCTGCCAGAGGAGCTACTTCAGACCTGCTCCAGCTCCAGCAGCCTGTGCTGAAGCTAAAGAAAACTCACTAGCAGAAGCTCTTGCTTTTAGCGAAACCTCAGTCTCAGGCCAGTCCCTCTAACTTTTTACCATTAAGTTTAGTGTTTAATATACTTTTCTAATAGATTTCCTTTCAAGTTAAGGAATTTTCATTCTGTTGCTAGGAATTTTCATTCCGTTCATTCAAAATCATACTAAATTTTTATTATGTAAGAACATTAAATTTTGTTGAATGACTTTTCTGTATCTACAAAATTATATCATTTCTTTAATCTAATAATACAGTAGTATTAATAGATTATCTAATGTTAAATCATTCTTACTCATCTTGTTCAATTGTATTACTTTTTTAAAGCACTGCTTGATTTGCTAATATTTTATTATTTTTTCTTCTATGTTCATAAATAAGAGTGGCCCCCAATTTTCTTTTCTCATATCATTCTCCAGCGTTAGTTCCAAGATCATATCAACCTTATACAATAAATGGGGGCATGTTTCCACTTTTTATATTATCTGGATAGATTTGCATAATATTGCAGCAATCTGCACTTCACATGTTTAGTAGAACACTACCGTAAGACAGTACAAATCATGTGGGGTTCTAGAAGATAGGTTTTGAACTGCTTATTAAATGTCTTAAATAATTCTAAGTTGAATCAGGTTTTTGGCTTCATATTGACTTGGTTTTGTAGGTTATATTTCCCATGAAATTGTCCATTTAAGTTAAAAATGAAAGTATGAAAATATCTGTAGTTTATTTTATGACTTTTTAATATCTTCATTGTCTCTGTAATTACGTTCCCTTTTTCACACTAACATCATCAGTCTGTGCCATCTCTCTTTTCCCTGGTCTGTCTTGCCAGAGGTGTCTATTTAACTGGCCTTTAAGAAAAAAAAGAAAAACAAACAAACCCTACTTTTGGTTTTACTGATCCTCTCTAACAATTTACAAGACTTAAAAAATTTCTTCCTTTTCTTTGTATTGGGTTTTTCTCTTTCTAACCTCTTGAGTAAGGTGCTTAACTCATAAATTTTTAGTCTTTCTTCTTTTTCGATATAAATATGTAAGGCTATAAATTGCCCTTTAATAATTGCTTTATTTACTCCTGGCATGGTTTTTAAGTTACTTTTTATTGAGATATAATTCACATACCATAAAATCCATTCTTTAAAAAGTACAATGCCTTGGTTTTTAGCATATTTCCAAGGCTGTGAAACTATCACCATTATCTAATTTCAGAACATTTTCAAAAACCCAAAAAGGAACTCCATCCCATTTAGCAGGAGTCCCCATTTCTCTCTCCCCTTCTAACTCTTGACAACCACTAATCTACTTTCTGTCTCTATGGATTTCACATAAATGGAAGCATTCAATATGTGACCTTTTGTATCTATACTTCTTTCACTTAGCATAATATTTTCAATGTTCATTCATGTGACACCATGTCACAATACTTCATTTGTTTTTGTAACTGAATAATATCCCATTGTATGGATATAATACATTTTGCTCATCCATTCATTCAGCTGATGGACATGTGGGTTGTTTCTACTTGTTGCCTAGTATGAATAATGTCAATGGAAGCGCATAGGCAAGTTTTTGTGTGAACATGCTTTCTGTTCCCTTGGAATATATACCTAAGAGTAGAATTGCTGGGTTATACAGTGACTCTGTGTTTACATTTTTGAGAAACTGCCAAACTATTTTCCAAAGCACCATTTTACATTCCCACCAGCAGTGTATGAGGATTCCAAATTTTCCACATACCCTGCAACACTTGTTATTGTCCATCTTTTTAATTATAGCCATGCTAGTAGATACTAAGTGGTATGTCATAGTGGTTTTGATTTGCATTTTCCTAATAAGTAATGATGTCGAGCATCTTTCCATGTGCTCATTGGCCATTTGTATATCTTCTTTCAGAAAACATCTCATTCAAATCCTTCGCCCATTTTTTACTTTTTTATTATTGCATTATCAGAGTTCTTCATATATTCTGAATACTAGACCCTTATCAGATATATGACTTGCAAATATTTTCTCCCATTCTCTGGTTGGCTTTTCACTTTCTTGATGGTGTCCTTTGAATCACAAGTTTTTAACGTTAATAAAGTCTGATTCATCTGTTTTTTCTTTGGCTGTTTGTGCTTTAGATGTCATATATAAGAAACCATTGCCTAATCCAAAGTCCCCTCACCATGTTTTTTAAATATGTATTTTACTATTTTTATGTTCTAAATACTCTTTTTCCATCAAGATTTCATATTTGATTGATGATATAATTAGAAAGTTCCCTTCCCCCCACCCCATGATCCTTTTATTATTGGTTGCTCAGTTTCAATGCTCCTCCCATCCCAGGTCTAAGACCTCAATTCTGGTCCCTCCCTCGGGCATGAAAGAGTGCCAAGACTAACACTCCACTCCCTTCCATAACCCCTCTATACAGTGAAACTGTTTGTTCGTTTGTTCGTATGTAGAGACAGGGGTCTTACTTTGTTGCCCAGGCTGGTCTCAAACTCCTGGCTTCAAGCAATCCTCCCTCCTCGGCCCCCCAAAATGCTGGGATTATAAGCATAAGCCACTATGCCACACTTAAAATAAACGTTAATTTCTTACAAGATCAAGTGTGTATTTAAGCATTCATGGGGGCTGGGGAGTTCCTATTATCTAATTCACAATTTTCTTTGAGGGACTCTCCTCATCTCTAACAGCTCTTATCCTTTGACATGTCTACCTATTGTTCTTGATAGCTACGCTCTGGAACCTTTGATATAGGCTGCTCTTGATGCATATTTAAGCCATATTCCATCTTTATGGAAATAATGAAAGAAGTGTGGATGGAGGGTGGGGCTGTGGGGAGGAGGAGGGACACACTGAGTGTGGTTTTCCTAGGGTCTTGCCAAGCCCTCACCTCCCAACCACCTTCCCACTGGAATAAAAGTCAGAGCCATGTATTTTTAATGTGAATGTCCATAAATCCAAGGACATGCCCTATCAGCTTCCTTCTCAGTTGACCTTTCTGGAGGGCTCTCCCTAGACAGGGTCCTGGGACTAACATATATAAGATTCCAAATTGAAAAGGAAACTGGACAAGTAGGATACATATTAGAGCTGGAAGGATATATTATTCAGGCTCTGAGTATCATACTCCATTTATTTTAAATAATATCAGGAGGAACCAGAAAGTAAAGAGCATGAGAACACCAGAGTTGGGGACTGGAATACTATCCAAGATGCAAAGCAAGTCTGACCAAGTTATCTTGTCACTTACTCAACATGGATATCTATTACTGCCTTCTCTACCCCACCATTATGGCCCTTCAATTATTCTGTTTCTTATTGCTTCACTATTTCTTTTACAGTCCTTTTAATCATGATATCTGTTTACTGATTTTTCTTAGTAGGGTTTTTGGCTTCTGCCTGACCATCACTCCCATGCCACCCATCCCCAAAGACCAAGTGCCCTGTCACTGTGTCTCACACTCAGACTCCCCACAAGGTAAAATATGCTGATATAGCTAATCGTTATTGTCTCCATTGGACAAAGCCACTACAACCAGCCATTCCCTAGGCTCTAAACCAGACATTTAGTAACTGTGGGTCAGGTGCTATTCCCTGGTCCAGTGGGCTAATGACCAGAGTAATGGCATCACACAGTTAGCTTTCTACAAAATGGGCTTGGCATGGGGAAGGTGCTCAATGCAAAAAGGGTTCTATTACAGAGGAGATCAGAATGGCTCCTTCCACAATGAAGCACACAGGGATTGAAGCAGTTGAACCAGCCTAAGTTCAAATCCTGCCTTGGCCACTTACTACCTTGTGTGATTTCGAGCAGGACACAACTCTTCTAGTCCCCAGCTTCCTTGTCAGCGAAAAGAAGATAGTATGCTTACTGCCTAATGATATGGGGGAAAGGAACTGAAGTCACATATGTCAAGCACTTAGCACAGTGACTGGCACTTAGCAGGCGCTTAACAAAAGAGTCTGTATTTATGGGCTCTCTCTCTCCCCTCTTCCCATGTCTCCCACCAGCATTGTGATGACCACCTGCTCCACCTTCTGTGCCCTTGGCATGATGCCTCTCCTGCTGTACCTCTACACCAGGGGGATCTATGATGGGGACCTGAAGGACAAGGTGCCCTATGGACGCATCATATTATCACTGGTCCCGGTTCTCATTCCTTGCACCATAGGGATCGTCCTCAAATCCAAACGGCCACAATACATGCGCTATGTCATCAAGGTAAGAACCTGGGGGCTTGACAAATTATGGCAAAAGAATAAAAACACCATATACAACTACACGGTATAATCACTATATTAATAATAAACACATATATGCTCCTACTAGATGCTAAGTTTTATGCTATGCACTCTGAGGATTCATTGTCACCAGAGTCTGATGTTTGCACAAAGTGAAGTAACACATGAGGCCGGTGCAGTGGATCACGCCTGTAATCCCAACACTTTGGGAAGCTGAGGCGGGTGGATCACTTGAGGTCAGAAGTTTGAGACCAGCCTAACCAACATGGCAAAACCCCATCTTTATTAAAAATAAAAATAAAAATAAATTAGCCAGGCATAGTAGCAAGTGCCTGTAATCCCAGCTACTCAGGAGGCTGAGGCAGCAGAATCGCTCGAACCAGGGAGGCGGGGGTTGCAGTGAGCTGAGATCGCGTCACTGCACTCCAGCCTGGGCCACAAAGCAAGACTCCATTTCTAAAAAGAAAAAAAAAAGAGAGAGAGAGAGAAGATCCAATTCCAGTGTACACACAAGTATTTGCAGAAGGCAAGGAGATGGGAAGAGTGAGGGCTGGAGTGGTAAAGGAGGCTTCTTAAAAAGGAAGGGCTTGAGGCATTTAGGTAAACCTGGGGAGAAGGCTGAGTAGAGGAGTTGAGAGGGCACCAAGGGCAAATTTGGCTGATGTGGCAAGAAGCTAGAGGAGAGAGGTAGTATACCCATTCCCAGCATTTCAGGAGAGGGATGGGGTGGGAAGCAGAGTGAATTAAGGCCACAAAGGTTTTGAGGAGCACTGTGGTCACAGACAGGGCATCATGCCACTGCCTTATGTGCAGAAAAATCCCGGACTCTTAGAGTGCAGCTATGGTCTCTCCACCAACATTTTCAACCTTGGAGTTCAGTCTCTGCCAGCCTCCCCCTTGGCTCACTGTTCATCCCACAGAGCCAGGGGGTCATCCTGGTCCTCAGGAAGGACTTGATCTCCTGACATCCTGTACTGTCTCTGCCCTTGCATCAATGCCTCTGGCCTGGTCTGTAAGGCGTGCTGCTGAGAACCCCAAAGTTTGGCAGCAGCTTTAGGCCTGGAACAAAGAAGCCAAGAGTCCAGTTTTCAGGGAGGTTTTATTTTCACACTACTAATGTCTCAAGAGTAGTTCTGCCCTTTCCCTGTCCCAGTGCCATGGCCGCTTCCCGCCTGCTGGAGGACATGGAGGAATCATCCCTCCTCCTTTCCCTGGCCGGTCACCCCACCTCAGCATTATTCTCTCCACCCTTGTACTCAGAGACCTCCTTTTATTGATTATGCCCCTGATCCAGCAGCCTCCCCTCTCTCACTCTCATTTCTAAAACATCTCTGTATTGGTTCTTCACAGTCAGCTTGGACACAGACTCACATATCTCCTATCTTCAAAAAAACAGAACAAAAACTATCTCTCACTGGAATTTCTTGTGGAATCCACCTCCCATTCCACCTAATACCCCCCACCCTTTGCTCCCCTTCCTAGCCAGGCTTCATGAAAAATCACCCTCACTCCTCTCTCTCTCTCTCTGTCAATCACTGCCTCTCAGACATCTTCCATTTCCCCCATGCCACCGCCAGAGCTCTCTCACGAGTGACCAGGCCTTCAGCCATTCGTTTCCATTATTTGAATCCCTCTCTTCTCTCCTCCTTGGTCTCCCATCCACCCAGCATCTTGATGACCACTTGCTACACTTTCTCTGCCAAATCCAATGGACATTTCTCAATCCTTTCTTGACCTTCTAGCAGCATTGGACATAACTGACCACTGCCTCCTCCTCAAAAGCCTTCTCTGTCAGCTTTAGTGACTCTAAGCTCTGCTGCTTTCCTCCTGCCTCTTGTGACCTCCTTCGGACTCCCTTATGAGTTCCTCTGGTCAAAGGCACTTCTCTGCATTCAGACCAAGCTTTCTGCCTTTCTCACCAGACCTCTCCTAGCCCAGGATCTGATCCCTCTCAGGTCTGCAATTACCATCTGCAAGCTGAGACTTTCAGAACAGCATCATCCGACCTCAACTCTCTCCTGACTCCAGAATCCATTTATTATCTACCGATCTTTCTATCTGAATATACCTCGGGCATTTAAAACTCAATATATGTTAAATAAGTCATCTCCTCCCCCTGTGTGGTTATCTCAGTCGGTGGCACTCTGTGTGTGCCCAATTGCTTCAACCAGAAACTGGAAGTCATTCTCAACGTTCCCTTCTCCCTCACCACTCATACCTATCTAATTAATGACCATCGATTCCACCTTCTGTTGCTGGAATCCATTCATTCCTCTCCATCCTTACCTCTCACTAGACAACTCAAATGGCCTTCTCATCCAACCTCCTCACCCAGTTTTAACCTGAGGGTGAAGATGTAAAGTACAAACTCTATCATGTCTCTCCACTGCTTAAAGCCTCTCACTGGCTCCTTCCCCCTAGGATAGAGTTTAAACTTCTTAATGTGGCACCAAATCAAACTGAGATTTGGTCTCAATTGACCTTACCAGTCTCAGCTCTTTTCTCTTTGCACATGCCCTTCCCTTCACCTGAAACACTCTTCTGCCCAATTCTCACCCCACTCACCATCTTTCACTGGGTCACTCCCACTCATCCTTTAAGTCTCAACACAAATAGCGTCTCCTCCAGGAAGCCTTCCTTAAACCTCTTAAGCCTGAGTAGGATGCTTGTCCTATTCATTCCCACAGCACCCAACACTCCAGCCAACCCCTGTAGAAATTATTATACTGCATTAAAAATACCTGTTCATGTTTATTCCCCACTTATTTCTCAAGAAGCAAGACCATAAGGCTATGTCTTAATTAACACTGAATCCACAGCACCTATCACAGTGCCCCCATAGCCAATGCCTGAGAATAAATAAAGGAATGAAGGGCAAGTCCTGTCTGCTGCTCTTCCACACACCAGCAGAAAAACAACATACACAGAGAAACATGTTTGTGTGCATCATTTCATTTCTTTAAGGTAGTTTGTGGGGTGCATAAGATTGCTTTTTTAAAAATCCTATACACCCACAAACGATCTTAAAGAAATGCATACAAAATATAAAGAATATTAAAATGTGAAGTGACCACTACTATCATTTAATGCTACTCTACCCTCCCCTGTTTTATAGGTGGGAAACTGGGGACCAGAATACCAAATCACAGTGCTAATGACAACTGATGCAAGAGCATGTCTCCTTTCTACCTCAGAGTAGCTTTAGAAGTGTTTCTCTGAGGTTGCAAAAAGTGGAATCTCAGATTTTAAAACTGGAGAAGCCTTTAAGATGAAGTTCAGTCTCCTGCCTTGTTCTCAATTTGCAGATAGAGTAACTGAGGCCCGGAAAAGGTACTTGGCAGAGCCAGGATTATCTCAACCAGTCTCTGTTCCTGTTGTGTTGCACATCCACTACTCAATGCCAAAGAGGAAATGAAGTCAAAATGAAGCCAGAGAACATTAAAAGGGCTAAGAAATACCTTGGCTAGAAAGACAGAGACTAGTAATAAGGGACTACATAAAAGGTGACCTAAAACACCCAGGCATGCCCTGGACCCATTTTGTCCCTGGCTAAACCCTCCAGGGTTAAACAACCACAAAGTCAAAAGCTACACTGATTTTCCTATTTTCCAAAACTGGAATCACTCCTGTGAGGATGCAGAGACGAACATGTGGGTCAAGCTGCAAAGGCTGAGGTTCCCTTGTTTCTATGGCTCTTTGAGGACTATGTTCATCCTTTGTCACCCTATCCCATAAATAATACAGTGAGTGCCACACTGGAAAATGAACAAATGATTGTCCTGGCCTCTTTGCACACTTAACCCTCCTAGGACCTTGCAAATCAAAATAACCCAACTTTCAATAACTAGCTCTAACAGCAGGTATCTGCTCACACTGGGTTCAACCAGTTGCATTCGCTGGTGGAAGGTCACATTTAGATATACCAAGATACAATTTCAGGGATGCTCATTTTGAAAGGCAATTCAAGAAATTTGTAACTTAAGGCTATGTGGTTAGAAGGCTGATGAACCTGAGAATGACATAGTCCAGGAGCCACTTTCACCATAAGCCATCCACTATTCTTTAATAAGGATCCCACCATTTCATTGACTCAACATTCTACTCAGGCATTTCCCACACCTGCTGCTACTGATGAACTGACCCCTAACTCTCCTTTGTCTTATAGTTTCTGCCAACTTGTGGCTTCTGTTGCTCCCAGGCCTCTGTGTGTTTTGACACTTGTCCCTGCTATTGCTTCCCTCTCTGTAATCCTGCAAACTTCCTGAGAGAAACTGATTATTTCTACTACTCACCAGCCTGTGCAGGCCACCTTTGTGGGTAGCGTGTGGACATGTCATCTCATGTGTCACTGGTAAGCCAATGGATTGGCTGCTTATTAATGGACACTCATCCCAGTTGTGAGCAGGGCAATGAAGTCAGGTGGTACCAAACATGGTGGCCTATGGAGAAGCAACTACCGAGGGCCACTTGTCTCAGCAGGGGTTGTAGACAGGATAAATTTCCAGAGATGGCAGCGGTGAGAGTGATGAAACTCTAGAATGTTACATTCCTCCCCTTTGAGTAATAATAGGAGTTACAGTTTAGTGAATGCTTCTTATATGCCAGGTCCTATGCTGTCAACCTCACTCAGGTTGAGTGACTCCCCAAAGCTTACACACCTGGAGACTAGCAGAGCCAGCTTTCCCACCTGGATCATATCAAAGTCTATGTTCATAATCACAACTGTGCAGCCCCCAAGAGTCAGAGAATATGAGTGAGAGAATATGAGTGAATGCCTATATAGAAGAATAGGGCTTCAGGATTCATGGACAATTCCTGTAGCCCAGTGCCTCCTAAATTATCCACTACACTCTTGATGGAGATAAAAACTATTTGACTGTTGGATGGAGGGCAAATTCGAAAGACAGAAATCCAAAAGGGGAAATCAACTAAAAATGCAAAGGTAAACTGAGAAGCTCATTAGCTAATAAGACTTTTAATAAGACTTGAAGCACATGGTTATTGAAGAGATGTGTGAAAGTCCTTCCTATTGCTGGGATAGGACCACTAATTGGTATAGGTGATGTTTTATATGATCGTATCAGTTGCAACAAGCATTAAAAACAGAAACACAAAGCTGTGCAGCTGAAATGTGAGCAACACAAATGTTAAAATGTCATTAGGACATTATGAATGTACTTAATGCCACTGAACTGTGCACTCAAAAGTGATTAAAACGGCAAAATTTACTATGCATATTTTACCACATTTTTTTAAATGTTACTAGGAAATATAAAATGCAACACATGTGAATGAACCAAAAAGTGAACCAACACATATAACTATTACAAAATAACATGGTATGTTTGAGAAACATTTGCAAAGGAGATAAAAGAGACAGTCTTAAATTTACACATACCTGTTTATCATTTTGGAGCATGCAATTCTCTAAAACGCACACTGGAAAGTACAAAGTGCACGGAGGTGCACTTTGAAAGGTTGCATCCTATGTTGCACAATGAAACATCCTATAATTTCATTCAGAGGAGACCCCCATAGTTTCCAATGATGTTGTTATCACCCAAGACATTTCTGAAAGTTATTTTGGGAACTTCCTTCATATTCAATTTGCAGATCACTCAAGAAAGTAGGTTTATCTCCTTATTATTAGACATCATTTTGGGTTTAAAACTGTATTTACGGGCTTGATCATCCACCTTGACCAGCTTTGTTTCAAAGGACTCTTGGCAATTTCCAGAAGTCAAATTGATCCTAAAATGGATAAAATCCCTATCTGTAATAAAGGTATTTGAGACAAATATGTACGACAAGTTCTAATGAGTTTCAAAGTATGTAGAACAATGGCAGTATTGTAAGAATGTGTATATAAGTTCCAAAAATACTTTGAAACTTTTAATATATGCATTTTGTAGGAAGCCTGAATAGCCTCATATAACATTTCACTCAGTTTGCTATCTAGAGATGTGTCAAAAGCAGAAACTGTGCTTGGTTGAGTCTGTAATAATCAAAGTGTTAATCAGCTGTCCCCAGGCTTCCTAGCTACTGATAAGAAATCTAAAAAGATGGGCTGGGTGCAGTGGCTCACACCTGTAATCCCAGCACTTTGGGAGGCCAAGGCAGGAGGACCACCAGAGTCCGGGAGTTTAATACGAGCCTGGGCAACACAGTGAGACCCTGTCTCTAATATTAATAATTTTAAAAAAGAAAAGAAATCCAAAAAGAACATAAAGGTCTTTCATATTCCCTTCCACTTCGTGTTTTATTGCAATGTTTCCCACCTCCAACTTCTACCTGTGCTTCCCTCCTCTCTGTTCCTTTCTATCCCCAACTCTTCTAATTGCCTTTTCTTCTTGTCTTCATTCCCAGGGAGGGATGATCATCATTCTCTTGTGCAGTGTGGCCGTCACAGTTCTCTCTGCCATCAATGTGGGCAAGAGCATCATGTTTGCCATGACACCACTCTTGATTGCCACCTCCTCCCTGATGCCTTTTATTGGCTTTCTGCTGGGTTATGTTCTCTCTGCTCTCTTCTGCCTCAATGGACGGTAGGTATTATTTTTTTTTAAGAAAGGGTCTGTTTCCCAGGCTGGAGGGCAGTAGCACATTCTCGGTTCGCTGTAGCCTCAACCTCCTGGGCTTAAGTGATCCTCCTGCCTCAGTCCCCCAAGTAACTGGGACCACAGGAACAAGCCACCATGCCCAGCTGATTTATCTTTTCTAGCGATGGGGTTTTACCATGTTGCCCAGGCTAGTTTTGAACTAATGAGCTCAAGTAATCCGACTGCCTCAGCCTTCCAAAGTGCTAGGATTACAGGCGTGAGCCACCACACACCTGGAGATAGTATTATTTTAGGTCCCACTGTCCCATGGGCTTCATTCTTGTCCTAGTCTTTCAGGAAAAGAACAATAAGCTAGGAACCTGAAATCTGGGCAAGGCATTTTCCTGGCAATATGTTCAGATGCACTAACTGGACAAGAGACTTGACTAACTGGACAAGAGACGAAAAAAATTGAGGAAAGGTATTGAATGGATTAAAAAGTCAGACACCAAAGGTATCCAAACACCAATAGCAACAGCAAAGTACCCCTGTCCAGGGTCTAGATTCCATCTGCTGACAAACTCCTTGGTAGCGGCACTGGGACAAAGTTGCTCCCTCCAGTTCCTTCTGAGTGTATGTGGCGTTTTCTTCACCAACACAGGTGCCGACGCACTGTCAGCATGGAGACCGGATGCCAAAATGTCCAACTCTGTTCCACCATCCTCAATGTGGCCTTTCCCCCTGAAGTCATTGGACCACTTTTCTTCTTTCCCCTCCTCTACATGATTTTCCAGCTTGGAGAAGGGCTTCTCCTCATTGCCATGTTTCGGTGCTATGAGAAATTCAAGACTCCCAAGGGTGAGTACTGAATGATCCCCACTTCAAGTTCTGCTCCAGTATTGGACCTGAGCCTGCCAACAAGCAAGTTTCTAGTAGGGACTTTTTGGATAGGGCTTTAGCTTTTATCAAGCCACTAAGAACCAGGTAGCCCCAACAAGCATCCAAGAAGCTTTAAAGATCCAAGGCTACTTCCATCAACTGCACTCCATTTCTTCCTTCTAGCTGGGAGAATGAAATTGTGGATGCAGTTTACCTCATAAAACTGAAGGAATTTGGGCTGCTTTGTCTCAGTAGGGAGACATCATAGGACAGAACTGCCTTGAACAACTGAGATTCTTAGTTGTGTGAAAGACCTCTACTCATAAGAGTTGGGGAAGTTTCCATTTCTCAGCACTAGGTTCTCATTTCCTGGAACCAGGTCAGAGCCACAGCACCACTGGCACCCCCATATGAGGTAAAACATATGAAAGCATTGCAGCCTAATATAACCCAGAATAAAGAAAAAAAAAGATTCCTCAACTCCAGTTACACAGTAAAGGAAACTTAAGCATAAGATTGTTAAAACAGTGACTACCTCTATAATAAACTTGATTAATATGATTTATACTTTACTCTGATCACTATGGGGTTAACATAGCATCTCTTCTCTAAAATGCTCAGAGCATTACCTTTCAAAATAAAATTGAACCTCAAGACAGACCAGAGACCAGAGTGTCTTCCTCAAAGTGTACTTTAACACCAATTTTAAAAAAAAAAAAAAAAAAAAAAAAACAGGACAAATATCCAAACCTACTTTATAACACATTTCATTATAACTAACTCTAAACATGAGTCTATTCTTCCTAAGTACTTTCCAAATCCTTCAACTGTCCCTTCAAATCCATGAATTGAAGTCCCCTTCAAAACCTTGTCTAGACCCTAGGGAGTGTGATTTACACCCTAGGAGAAATACACAACTTTCCCTGTTGGAATTTGTTACATTATACTAGCAAATACCGATTCTCTTTCCCTTTGCAATTAGCTAAGATGTAATTAGGTTGCCAAGCAGCCAACAGGAAACAAGTACAGGCTGACCATACTCTAGAACCATTTTTGAAGCTTTGGTTCAAAGCTACAGTGGAGTTGTGAGAAAGAATCTAGTCTGATGCTTACCTGAAAGGAACGCAAGAGATTTGCTGCCCTCTTACAAAAAGTGCACAGAAGTTTCTAGACCAAGTTCCCAGATTTGAGGTTTTAGTGTCAGAAAGGCCTGGAGTGACCTCAAAGGACAATACTCTATGGATCTTTAGCTCTCAAGACTTATAAAGAACTTTCCTCACAATGTATCTCAGAAGACCCCAGTGGAAACACTAAATCAAAACAACTTATTTCTTTGGACCTAATGGCCCCAAGAAGCTATTCTCAGGGGAAAGAAACTGTCAAGTTTTTATACTTTTGATTCCTGTACCTTTCTATACAGATGGAAGCACTCTGTATAGAGAACTCTCCCATCTGTACAGAAAGGTGCAGGAATCAAAGCTATCTTCAAATTTGCATCACCACCTACACGATGGGCAAGAAAAGAGGCAGAACAATTGGGTGTTGGGGGGAAGAACTGGAAACTCTCTTGGTTAGACTTTCTCAAAGATCTTTCCTCCCTGCCTCCTCATTCCCTGAATGCAACACAGTCCTTGCATACATAAACTCATCTCCCCTGTTGTTTTACTGTTATGTACAGAGAAGTTAGAGGTGAAGTGATGATGAAGACTCAACAGTCTAATTCATTAAGACTTTTATTACTAGTACTATCATTAGGGAGACTGAAGGTAAAGTGAGTTTAAAGAGTAAACCACGGGAGAGATGACAGAGATGGAAAATATATACATAGCACACCCTAGGGCTGAGTTGGTATTCTTGTACTTTCCAGATTAAACAAGGTTCATTGTTCACTCCTCTTGTTCTGTCTCTACATCTATGACCCTTAACTTTACAGATAAAACAAAAATGATCTACACTGCTGCCACAACTGAAGAAACAATTCCAGGAGCTCTGGGAAATGGCACCTACAAAGGGGAGGACTGCTCCCCTTGCACAGCCTAGCCCTTCCCCTGGTGGCCTGGATTCTGGTCCCAAAGCAATTCTGAAAGCCAGTCTGGTCAACTACAGAGAGCAGCAAAAACACCAGTCTTGCCTGAGTCTCTCTCCAGCATTTCCAGTGCATCTATCAGAATCATCAAGCCTTGGCCGGGAACACAGACAGGGTGTCTGCCCAAGAAGCCTCAACTATCCCCAACTTAGAATTTGCTACTTATTTCAAAGACTTGTTCAGTGACTGGAAATTCTATGAAACCAGAAACCAAATCTGCCTCTTGCCAGGATCTCTGAAACAGTGCCTGATAAGCATCTTAAGTCACTCAATTCCTGAACTAATCAATATATATGTTTAACCCATTACTCAAATACCCAAATCCCATTCCAAGTTTTGTGACCCAAAAGAGAAATAAATAAATGCTCAAGAATGCTGTAGAATTAGACTTCACAAGTTCTAATCTAAAAAATTCAGATCCCATTCCTTCCCTTTTGACATGATTGGGATGACGCTCCCGAAAGTCAAATTTGACATTAAGTATGCAAAAGTGAACATAGTAAGATGCAATTAGGCAAAACAAACTCAAAAATAGCTAATGAAATGAAAAAACTGGGCAAATGCATCACGTTAGTAGAGGAAAAAAACCTTTGACAAGGAAAAACCAGGAAACAAATACCTACAGCCACACAATGTCACCTAAGAATCTTTTAAGTTCAGTAGATACCTGGTTTTAACACAAAGCACCCCCAAAACTGGGTACAGCAAACTAAATGAGTGGTTTCCCAATTCAAAGAAAAATGTTCAAATACCTAGAATTCACAAATTTCAAATTGTCTCTAATAAAATTTAAACATTTTGCATATCATATGCAAGTAAAGATCAGGTAAATGATTAACAACGAATATTAACACTTACAAAAAGTCAATCATGCTTAGTTACTTGGGATTTTTATCATTTTGTATGGTCAGGTACAAATGAAACCAGGACAATATAGTTTTCAGGTGTCAGTTTGGCAAATGTGCGGGACTAACAAATACTGCCAACACCAAAACAAGAATCACAGATTTGGGTCACTAACATCCTCTTAAAAAAGCAGTTTTTGAAAAGGCTACTATCATTTTTACTAATTATATCCATATATACCTAACTGTTCAAATTGTTTTCTCTATTATCTAACCAACATCATCTGCTAGGAGACTTGGTTACATACAAGTTATGTAAGAACACATTTGTTTAGCTTCTGAAGATAGAGTTGGCCTCAAACTGCCCTTAGAAAGGAATAAACATGGCCAGATGCAGTAGTTCACACCTGTAATCCCAGCATTCTGGGAGGCCGAGGTGGGCAGACCATGAGGTCAAGAGATGGAGACCATCCTGGCCAACATGGTGAAACCCCATCTCTACTAAAAACACAAAAATTAGCCAGGCATGGTGACACACGCCTGTAGTCCCAGCTACTCAGGAGGCTGAGGCAGAAGAATCGCTTGAACCCCAGAGACAGAGGTTGCAGTGAGCCAACAGAGCGCCACTGCGCTCCATCCAGCCTAGCGACAGAGCAAGACCCCGTCTCAAAAAAAAAAAAAAAAAGTAAGGAATAAAGATGAAAGAAACATAGAAAACAAAGGTTAAACCGTTCCCTACAAAGGCAGGCCCTAAACCTTTCCTTAGGATTACATCCACACTCCTCATATCTCAAGCCTGGTTTTGAGAGTCCCTTTTTGAGACATAATCGTTATCTCCCTGCCATTTTTTCAAAAGAAGGAATTTATTGTATTCCCTAACACAAGATTAAAAGTAGCTTAAGTCTTGGCTGGGCACAGTGGCTCACTCCTGTAATCCCAACACTTGGGAGGCCAAGGCAGGCAGATAGATCATTTGAAGTCAGGAGTTCGAGACCAGCTTGGCCAACATGGTCAAACCTCGTCTCTACTAAAAATACAAAAATCAGCCAGACGTGGTGGTGGGCGCCTGTAATTCCACCTACTGGGAGGCTGAGACATGAGAATCACTTGAGACTGGGAAGTGCAGGTTGCAGTGAGTCACCACTGCACTCTAGGCTGGGTGACCAAGCAAGACTCTGTCTCAAGAAAAAAAAAAAATTAAAAAAATAAAGACTTGCAGAGTGGCTCACGCCTGTAAACCTAGCACTTTGGGAGGCTGAGATGGGTTTATCACTTAAGGTCAGGAGTTTGAGACCAGCCTGGCCAACAGGATAAAACCCAGTCTCTACTAAAAACACACACACACACAAAAAATAGCTGGGCATGGGGGTGGGTGCCTGTAATCCCAGCTACCCAGGAGGCTGAGGCAAGAGAATCACTTGAACCCAGGAGGCAGAGGCTGCAGTGAGCCAAGACCGCCCAAACTGGGCAACAGAGTAAGACTCCATCTCAAAAAAAAAAAAAAAGTTCGTCTGATTATTTAGAGGTAGACAGGAAAAACATCAACATACCACACTGCCCTGAGCAGCACATTCTAAAAGCCCAAGGGGGAAAAGTTGCTTTTGATAGCAACTTCAGGCTGACCAAGTACTGCCTTCAGAGACACTGAGAAAATCTAGAATCCACCGTTTATTAAAATAAACCTGGTTCCCTCAACTAATTCAACGGGTATATACCAACTCCTAAACTCAGCCTCTTATTACAATCAGCAGCTTTAAACGTCCATAGCCTGTTCTAGTCTTAGAAACAGCCAGGGAGTGACCTTTTAAAAATTAAGGATATCAAAAACCTTTCAACTCTCCCAAATGGAGATTCCCACTTCCCAATCCCCACGCTTTTGGGAAGCTAAAAGCTACGCTTTTCTAGTGCTTCTAATTCTGCCGTTTTCCAAATCCCTGGAAGGCTAGAGGCAAAAATCTTTGTCAACAGTTGAGTGTAGTGTGGGGGTATTGGAATCAGACTTCCTGGATTTTAATACCAATCCATCCCCCCTTCTTTGAAGAATTCCTGAATTCCCACCAGTAAAATGGAATTAGATTCAGTCCATACAGAGATATGGCACTTAAAACAGTACCTGGCTATTACCATCAGAAGTTACATAGATGTTATTCACTGTTTCCCAGTATTTATGTAGTCTAGACCCCACAGAACTAAGAATATATCTAAGTGTCCTGAGACTCCTGTATTAATATAGCTCCTTTTCTACACATCTAAGGCAAGGCTTGAAAGCTCAAATATAGAAGTCTAAGGTTAATATGGATATAGGACCTTAGGCATTTTACACTACTGTTTTCCCTTAAACATGTACTATCCCATACATATCTCAAGACAAAAAGTACCATGTCAAAGTCCCTTAAGCATTCATGTTACCCGACCACCAAAACTATATCACAACTGGACACAGCAGTTCACACCTATAATCCCAGCGCTTTGGGAGGCCAAGTTAGATCACTTGAGTCCAGTTCAAGACCAGCCAAAGCAACATAGCAAGACCCTGTCTCTAGAAAAACATTAGCCACACGCAGTGGTGCACACCTGTAGCCCTTACTCAGGATGCAAAGGCAGGACGATTGCCTGAGCCCAGGACGTCAAGGTTGCAGTGACCACTGATCACACCCCTACCTTCCTGCCTAGAAAACAGATGATCCTGCCTCAAAAAAACAAAAACAAGGCTGGGCACAGTGGATCATGGCTGTAATTCCAGCACTTTGGGAGGCCAGGCAGGTGGATTACCTGAGGTAAGGAGTTCAAAACCAGCCTGGCCAACAGGGTGAAACCCCCGTCGCTACTAAAAACACAAAATTAGCTGGGCATTGTGGCACGTCTGTAATCTCTGCTACCTAGGAGCCTGAAGCAGGAGAATCACTTGAACCTGGGAGGCAGAGGTTGCAGTGAGCTGAGATCACGCCATTGCACTCCAGCCTGGGCAGCAAGAGCAAAACTCCATCTCAAAAACAAAAAAAAACTGTCATAACCTTTAAGGTAGTCAAGAAACACTGCTTCCCACACTATCCTCCTCTTGACTCTAAGTAACCTGATGCCAATAAAGTCAGGAGATAAAGGAAACACATGGGGGGGTTGGGGGAGGGGGCATGGACACAAAGAAAACTCAATTGTGATTTTAGCATTCGCTTACATCTTTGTATTTTGAATAGCCTGGAGACATCAAAAACACTTTTTAAAAAGAGACCATAACGACTTCAGGGTTCTGGATGTGTTTGGTGTTTTAAATGTACTGTATGATGATAAGGATGAGAAGTAAACAGCATAGGACTTCTTCAGACAAACAAAAGGAGTTTTATAATATTTTATTATCAATAACAAACAGCTGCTTTAATGTGTCTGTCCCGCAGCTGTTAAAGAGTGAAGGACACCCTTGACCCTAACAAGGAAAACAAATTAAGCCTTTATGTACAAGCAAATTTAGAGCTCTTTTAAGTGTCCAAAGCTATTAATTAGTTTAATTGAGGCATTAAACTAATTCTGAATTAACATATTTTAATAACCAGGAACTAAAATGTTCAAATTTTTTTCTAGTACAAAAAAATTAAATTTGCTTTAGTTATAAAAGAGCTCTGTCAATATACACAAACTATATACTTCAGACATTCACAAAAATGTGAGCAGAAGGCTTATCAAAAGACATTTAATACAATTAGTTTTCAACAACCCCTTGGTGGTCCACATCTACAAAGATATCCAGCCCAACCCAACCCCCCTTCCAAATCCCACCCCCACAGAAAAGCACATACTTACCAGAATTTTTAGCAAGTATGGTTTGGGAATTTTTGTAGTTTTTGTTTTTTAAAAAAAGGCCCCCAGGGCAAGTTATTTACAGTTTAATTGCCACTGTCAACTGATCTGGACCTTGATCGGGACCGGGACCTCTGACGATCCACAGATGCTGGAGACTTAGATCTACTTGAAGAACCACGTTTCTGGCTCTTCTCAGGCACGGGAGACCTACTAACAGAACGGGACTTGCTCCGGCTCCGGCTCCTGCTCCTGCTTCTTGACCGGCTGTAAGATTTGCGACTACGGGAACGGGATCGGCTACGAGACCTAGAGGAACTTCTGGTCCGGGATCGAGACCTGCTTCTTGACCTACTATGAAAAATGAGAAGAAATCAGCCTAGGTAAGACTCTACAGCAAACCCATTAAATACAACTTTTGACTTAAAAATTAGAAATACCTGTGCCTTTTGCTGCCTTCAATTAATTTTATTTTTCTCCCATTTATTTCCTTTCCAGAAAGTTTTTCAATAGCATTCTTTAAGTCACCATAAGAGGCAAACTCAACCACCCTAAAATGGAAAAAAGCCACTTTTAAAGTATACACATCTTGTAGTCGCACACATTGCACATAGCAGTCTAGGTTAAATCGTTTCTATGTTCAATTTTGCTATCACTACTGAGTCTCATTTCTGCATAATGCAGTATTAAAAGAGCAAAGTTTTGGCACTGTTATACTTTGAGTCAATTAATTGTTGGGGAGGGTTCCCTATGCATTGTGGGATGCTTAGCGGGATGCCTAGCCCCTAGCGACTAGATGCCAACAGCATCCTTCCTCAACCAGTTGTGACAACCAAACATGTCTCCAGACACTGCCAAAGGTGTGGGGGGGAGGGGAGGCGGCAAAATTGTCCCTGGAGAATCTCTACATTATAACATATTCAAATTTTAAGTCCTCAACACTAAGTTCACAGTAAAATTTTCAGGATATTTTTAAAGACTTTCACAATTTCCAGTACATACCCTTCATTTAATTTAGGTCGGTGTGCATCCGCAAACGTTACTTCCCCAGCTTGTCTCATGAAATCTTTGAGATCCTTAACACAAGATAATTGTGTTAAGCAAAGAAGAGGAAAGGGGACACACAAACAATCACATGATATAAAAAAAACAAGACTACTGAAAGAGAAGATGTTAGATAAAGTACAAACATGGCATTTACCACACTTGTATTCTATCAGAATTCAAAAATTATCTATGTCAGGGCACGGAATAAGGAAATAGCATATTGCTTTTAAGCAAAATGCTAAAGGAAATTCAGACTTTAACATTAAGGTAGTATTAGTCTATGCTGAGCTCAGTACAAAAGAAAAAAAACAAACAAAAAAAAACAAAAAAGGAAACAGTACATATTTTTAAAGTAAAGACTAAAGTAGAGAAGTTTTATTTAAAAAAAAAAAAAAAAAAAAAAAAAAAAAAACAGAACATTTACAAGACACCAGTTATTTTGTGCCCCATATGTCATTAAAAAAGTTTACTTTACCTTTATTATTATTTCCCTAGGCTAGTCAAGCAGCAAACCATAAATCGGTCGGAGAAACCTTCATGACATATGCCCGACTGGCTCTTCGCCACCCACTTGAAGGACACTACCCAATCGATGGAAGCCTTTAATCGCACAGCCCTCCCTATTAGCAGACTATTGGCGGATGCAGACATGTTCTACTCGAGCAGTTACCAAGGACCACTTTACTGCGATCAGGATTCCAACGACCACCTAATTTCGTATCTTTCAACTCTTTTCGACCGGACCTCTTATTCGGAAGCGTTACAGGAAGACAGGTCTCAACTTAGGGATCAGATCACGTTATCAACGCTCTGGGATCGCTGCAACCTGGCACTTCAAGGAAGTGCACCGATAACGTCTAGACCGGCAAACACAGATCTAGAGGTGGCCAACTGATCACTGTAGGAGCTGACTGGCAAAGTCAACCAGGCCCAACCAAGAGTGACCAAGACAACGATTAGGATAACCCACAGGCACTCCTCGTCATAAGGCCAACGACACAGACAGGCTGGCAAATAAAGGGTTTAATATTTGGTTAAAAATTGATTTTAAAAAACAAGAAAAATATCCTCAAAACATTTACATTTGATCACTAATATTAAAGTTCAAAATATCCCCCAAATTACATTTAATTAAATGTTTAAAATTACAATTCCATTAAATCCATTAATTTAAGATAAAACTACTTTTAATAAAATAAAACATTAGCTACCCATTAACTTTTAAAAAATCACATTAAAATAACTCAAAACTGTATTTCAACAAACCTGCCAGCTGACTCTTGAGGATAAATTCTCAACTATAAGCCGATTTTCTGTTCTTACAGGTGGAGCATTTCTGAGGAAGAAAATTCGTATTCACAATGGAAGAAATGCAATGACAGCACTTGTGTGTGCAAGCACAACTGTGGGCAAGTTCAAGCCATCAGATATGACAAGCCACCCTAATGACTTCCGTCAACAGATTCTGTGTTCTACGACTCATATAGATTCATCAAGAACAGTGGGCTTACGTGGGAATAGAAAAACACATTATATGGCAGGACCCCGAATCATCACTGCTAATGTCTCCTGAACCTTAAATGCTACCCCTACAATAATTGTTCAACGCAGCCGTCCCCCGCTTCACATACCGTCTATCATTTCGAGGTCTGCGACTACTAAAACGGTCAGAGTATCGTCCTCTACCTCTTCCACCTCGTGACCGAGCCCTAGCATGTTCAATAGTAACCCTACAAAAGAGGAAGAAAAATCTCCGTTACACACTTAAGTTATATAGATCTACTTAGAAAAATATGCCAGCAGACCCAGTCTGCTCTATGTCCCAAGGCTAACTAGTTACACAGGAGTCTCACCTTTCACTACAGAGTTCTTTTCCATCAAGCTCATACACAGCATCATCTGCATCCCTCGGATCCTCAAATTCCTAAAATGTAAGTATAAACATGGACTTTAGAAGAGTATTCTACAACATAATGAGCATGGAAATCAGGAGACAGAATAAGAAAAGAAGTATCTTAAGAACACTGCCACATAGTCAAACCTAATCAAGGAGCCACTAGGAGTGGGGTCCAGTGAGCCGGCAAGTTAAAGTTGTTTTCAGCCTCAATAAAACTCACACACAAGGGTGGGTAACATTTTCTGAACGCAAATATTCTACCTGGACTCAAGATCAAAAACAACTGCTCATCGAAACTCTACCTACTTAGCAGATAATTCACCCAGTTCTAAATACTTACCACAAAACCAAAGCCTCTTTTCAGATCAATATCTCTTATCCGTCCATATCCCTTGAAGAATCTTTCCACGTCCTTCTCCCTGGCCGCTGGATTTAGTCTCCCGATGAATACTCGACAGCCACTCATGATGTCCGGCTAGTACTTCCTATTAGAAAGTAATTCAATCGAGATAACAGCAATGACTGTCACAGAGAAACGCCTGATCAAAGAATCAAAAACATAAACAGCGTAAAATGTTTACCCAGTGATTTACAAACAGGATTGCCAAGAGTGCCTCTAATGAAGCCAGGTTAACTTGCAGACAAAATTAAAACCCAGCTCCCTCCCAACACGGTCCGTTACTGGGCCCAGACCGCAGCAACCGCAACGCCCACTGCCACCTCTCCAACTGCGCAGCCGCACACTCTCCACGGCCCTCCGGCCCCCTCCCATCTGCCGCAGTTAGGAAAGGCCGAGAAGTGCGGGCGGAGCCGCCCCCGCCCTCCGCAAAGCCAGCCCAATGGCGGCCTCGCGGGCGCGTCACAGCGGGTGGAAGCCGGATTCTCGCGACGCCACGACCGCGCCTGCGCCAACGGGGCGGGCGCTCTGCGGCCACAAAATGGCGGCGGTGGAATCAGCAGCAACAGAGCCGCGCGTGCCAAATTCCCTTTTCCCTCCTCCTCCCAACTTCACCGTTCTTGGGGTCACTGCGGCCGCCCTCCAAAAGGCCCAGCCGCATCGCCAGCAAAGTCAGGAAGATCCCGGCCCACTACTCTACGGGTCCGGGAGATGAAAACGTTAAGACTGGCAGGGAGGGGCGCACAACCGCTGTGTAAAAACGACCCTAACAGTGACCGCCCTTCCACCTCAGTACCCCTCAAACAGTATGCCAAAAGGGAGACGTGCCCCAGCGCCCACCTCGAATCAACTGCGCTCATTAGACGCCGTCCTCCGCAAAGAGAGCAGCCCCAGCCGCTCACGAATTGAGCGGCCATGAAGAAGCCTCGATCCGAGAAGGCTTGCCCTCAAAGTGAGCCACTCACCTACCGGACGGGGTCTTTAGCGGCTGAGACCCAGACAGGTCCGTAGTCTGCGACGGAGTCGTCGGCCTCCACGCAGACCAGGACTTAACTCGTCTACGCCTCTCCACAACTGACGCACTTAGCAGCTCTGGCACTCCACAAAATGGAGGCCGCGTCTCTGCGTCACTTCCGGGGACGCCCCTGGGCCTTGGGTCCACCCTGTTGGACCCAGGGAAGACGGAAGTTTTGGGAGGGCCGGAAATTTCGGGGAACGTGGGTCTCCTTACCTTGACACTGTGAGTGACCGACCCTCCGCCCGCGGTGGGTGGGGCCGGGGGCGGGAACTCGCTTGGGCACTGCCGGCAGGTGCCGGAGTCTGGAGGGACGTCGGTTGAAGTTGTTCGCCCCTTCTAAGTCCTTGGCGTTCGGTTCATCATCATCTCTCCCAGAAGAGTCTCCTGAGACAAGTATCAACCCTTCTTGTATCTAAAGTTTTTCTTAGACACCCACAAGGTTACTAATTAGAAGAAACTTAGCTTTGGAGAAATACCTGGCCTTTCCTTGTCTCGCCCTCAAAGCAGAGAGCTCCTAGATGTTCGAGTTCTTTTTTCAGCCATGCCACAGCTGTATGGTTTTGTTGTAGTGAGAAGACTAAGGAACTGAAGTATTTTTTTAAATGAAAGGGTTTTGACTGATGAAATGTTGAAAATGGTACTGCAGCTAGAAGGCTGTCTTGAATTGAGGCTAGAATACAGATTTCTGCATTTCCATCACTCTGGGAGAGTGGCTGGAAGAGGTTTCAAGCTGCTTTTTTTTCTTTTTCTTTTTCTTCTTTTTTTTTTTTTTTTTGAGACGGAGTCTCGCTCAGTCGCCCAGGCTGGAGTGCAGTGGCGCCATCTCGGCTCACTGCAAGCTCCGACTCCGGGTTCACACTATTTTCCTACCTCAGCCTCCCGAGTAGCTGGGACTACGCCGGCTAATTTTTTTTTGTATTTTTAGTAGAGATGGGGTTTCACCGTGTTAGCCAGGATGGTCTCGATCTCCTGACCTCGTGATCCGCCCGTCTCGGCCTCCCAAAGTGCTGGGATTACAGGCGTGAGCCACCGCGCCCGGCCTCAAGCTGCTTTTAAGTCGAAATGGTATTTGGTTAATCCTCCCCGTTGAGATTTCTGTAACGTAACACATGAAAGTTTGCAATTCTTTTTTTTTTTTTGAGATGGAGTCTCGCTCTGTCACCCAAGTAGGAGTGCGGTGGCCGGATCTCAGCTCACTGCAAGCTCCGCCTCCCGGGTTTACGCCATTCTCCTGCCTCAGCCTCCCGAGTAGCTGGGACAACAGGCGCCCGCCACCTCGCCCGGCTAGTTTTTTGTATTTTTTAGTGGAGACGGGGTTTCACCGTGTTAGCCAGGATGGTCTCCATCTCCTGACCTCATGATCCGCCCGTCTTGGCCTCCCAAAGTGCTGGGATTACAGGCTTGAGCCACCGCGCCCAGCCGAAAGTTTGCAATTCTTTAGAAACAGAGAATGCCCTGCTTTCAAAGTGGGTGTGAAACACAGCCCTCCATATTAACTCCCCCGAGGTCCCGATAAGGTTGGTAGACCTAGAAACTTAGGCATAAAGAGATTGGTTAACTTTGCTTTAATGCTTTTATGTAGAACCCAGTGCACCCCATTTTTGAGAAGGGCCTGGAATGTGGAGTTGCATGCTTGCAACTAGAGTTAAACAGAAAAAGTAGTTCAGGAAGAAGGAGACAACTGACACTTAACTCTGACCTCAGGGGCCCTTAGACACTCAGAACTGAAACTTGGATAGTTTGTATCGGTAAGTTTGTCCATTCATAGTTATATGTGCAAATAAAAAGAGTCTCAGTGGGTACATGACAAAATTGTAAAGTTAGTTACCTATGATGTGGGAGTTAAGGATGGGTTTATAACACAATATGTATTTAATGTATTTGTTCAATTAAAAGAAAAAAATGTTATCTAGTTGTTGGCCTGATGAACATTGGCATTTTATAATGCACAAATTGTCCCAGACCAGTTTGTATTTAATTACATTTGTTTGGTTTCTGCATAATAAACAAGTCTTCCCGATTACTTTCTACATTTTATGTTTATTATGAAAGCAACTCTTTTTATTTCACTCACTGCCACTTTTTTTGTTTTGTTTTTAAGGCTAGTAAAGCAGTGGGACTGGAGAAGGAACTAACAACTACATTTTATTTTGGCTGCAATAAGAAAAAGTAATCTGGAAAAGGTTTTCTGGGGGTGAAAAGTAAAAAAGATGGTGCTGTACACCATGAAGAAGTTGCTACTTTAGGCCGGGCGCGGTGGCTCAAGCTTGTAATCCCAGCACTTTGGGAGGCCGAGACGGGCGGATCACGAGGTCAGGAGATCGAGACCATCCTGGCTAACATGGTGAAACCCCGTCTCTACTAAAAATACAAAAAAATAAGCCGGGCGAGGTGGCGGGCGCCTGTAGTCCCAGCTGCTCGGGAGGCTGAGGCAGGAGAATTGCGCGAACCCGGGAGGCGGAGCTTGCAGTGAGCAGAGAGCGGGCCACTGCACTCCAGCCTGGGTGACAGAGCGAGACTCCGTCTCAAAAAAAAAAAAAAAAAAAGAAGTTGCTACTTTCAGCTCATGTTGATTTTCTTCAGGACCAATTTTTTAATGAACACTTTTCTCTGATTTATTTATTATTTAAAAGTTTATGAGTTCCATATAAGTAATTTTTCCTTAGTAGTGCCTAGAGACAATATTTTAAAACACTTGTCTTCTGCAATGTTGGCTTTTGCCACGTCAACCATCTAATCTCAAGTCTCCCTATTTGTATTAGTCCGTTCCCACACTGCTATAAAAAAACTATCTGAAACTCGGTAATTTATGAAGAAAGGAGGTTTAATTGACTCAGTTCCATAGGCTATACAGTAAGCATCACTGGGAGGCCTGAGGAAACTGAACAATCGTGGCAGAAGGCAAATGGGAAGCAAGCACCCTCATCATGCACGTGATGGCAGGAGAGAGAGAGAAAGCAAGGGGGTGAAGAGGGCCTCACTCACACACTTTTTTTTTTTTTTTTTTTTTGAGGTGAAGGGGTTTTTTTTTTGTCCAGGCCAGAGTGCATGGCGCGATCTTGGCTCACTGCAAGCTCCACCTCCCGGGTTCACATCATTCTCCTGCCTCAGCCTCCCCAGTAGCTGGGACCACAGGCGCCCACCACCACGCCTGGCTAATTTTTTGTATTTTTAGTAGAGATGGGGTTTCACCATGTTAGCCAAGATGGTCTCGATCTCCTGACCTCATGATCCGCCCATCTAAGCTTCCCAAAGTGCTGGGATTACAGGCTGAGCCACTGCACCCAGCCGTGCCTCACACTTTTAAAAACCATCAGATCTTGTGAGAACTCACTATCACAAGAACCGAATGGGGGAAATCTGCCCCATCAGCCAATCCCTTCCCACCAAGTTCCTCCCCGAACACTGGGTATTACAACTCAACATGAGATTTGGGTGGAGACACAGAGCCAAACCATGTCACTATTGGACTGTTTCTTACCAATTTCTCTAATAAATACAAAGTCATCTTCCATGATCAGAATTACTCTTCCCCTATGTGATCTTACAATATTCTGGATTTTTTTGTTTTATTTTTTTTTTGTTTTTTGAGACGGAGTCTCGCGCTGTCACCCAGGCTAGAGTGTAGTTGCACGATCTCTGCTCACTGCAAGGTCCGCCTCCCGGGTTCTTGCCATTCTCCTGCTTCAGCCTCCCCAGCAGCTGGGACTACAGGTGCACGCCGCCACACCCGGCTAATTTTTGTGTTTTTAGTAGAGATGGGGTTTCATGATGTTAGCCAGGATGGTCTCAATCTCCTGACCTTGTGATCCGCCTGCCTCAGCTTCCCAAAGTGCTGGGATTACAGACGTGAGCCACCACGCCCAGCCTACAATACTCTGTTATACAGTCATCACTGATTCTTGTATGTTATTCATGTTTTCTAGAAATGCATAGCACCAAAAAGACTCAATATTTATAGACCTGGATTTGCATGAGCATTTTTTTCAGGTCGTCCTATTCCTATATGAATGTTTCAACAAAATGGCTTGGCATCCTTTTCCTAAGACATCCAAATTAGATGCAACCTTTTTTTTTTTTTTTTTTTTTTTTGAGATGGAGTCTCTCTCTGTCGCCCAGGCTGGAGTGCAGTGGTGTGATCTTGGCTCTCTGCAACCTCCGCCTCCCATCTCAGCCCCCCAAGTAGCTGGGACTACAGGCACACGCCACCATGCCTGGCTAATTTTTTGTATGTTATTGGAGACAGAGTTTCACCATGTTGTCCAGGCTGCTCTCTTGATCTCCTGACCTCATGATCCACCCGCCTCAGCCTCCCGAAGTGCTAGGATTACAGGCGTGAGCCACCGCGCCCAGCCTAGAAGCAAATCTTTAAAGGGAAAAAGATGCAAAGAAATCACAGATTGAAATAAATACAAAATTTACTGGCATCTCTCTTGGAGACTTTCAGTGTAGCTGTGGTATGTTTCATTCATTGCCATCCTGATTTCATCTAATTCGGAAATGAGCAAATTATGGCCTATGGGCCTAATCCAGCCTCTTATCTGTTTTTATATAGCAAATGAGTAATTTTACATTTTTAAATGGTTGTGGGGGAACAGAAGAAGAAGAATATCTAAGCACATGAAAATTATATGAAATTTAAAGGTCAGTATCCATAAATAAATAAATTTTTGGAACATAGCCACTCCTGTTCATTTACTTATTGCCTATATCTGTTGTGCTACAAAGGCAGGGCTGAGTAGCTATGGTAGAGTCCATATGGCCTGAAAGCCTAAAATATTTACTGTCTGGTCCTTTACAGAAAACATTTGCTAATGGGGTGGGGGAGATAAGAGATTAATAGGTACAAGCATACAGTTAGATAGAAGGAGTAAGATCTAATGTTCAATCACAGAGTAGGGTGACTATATAGTTAACAACAATGTATTTTATATTTTAGAACAGCTAGAAGAGAGGACTTAAAATGTTCCCAACACATAGAAGTAATAAATACACAAAGTAATGAATATCCTAAATACTCTGATTTGATCATTACACATCCTATGCACGTAATAAAATATTTCATATGCCCCCTATG